TGGTGTGGCAACAATCCGTTGGATTAGCAAGTTTCTTGACTTGAAAGTAACTTGAATCAAATTAGCGGTAAAACACATAGTCAACCATTTGGTAAACGAAAAGCAAAAGAGCGTTCCAAGAGAGTTAGCACAGCTTTAAATTTGTAAATAGATATAAACAAAACTGTAAAAATATTGTTCACTTGTTTAATATTTTAATGAATATGTTTATGTTATACATTATACTTTGTTGAGAAATAAAAATGTGAGATTCATACTGGAAAATTTGGTGATCAAAAGTATCTTTTCGTGGTGATTAAAAGTCCATTTACTCTTTTAAAAATCAGTTATAAATAGATCGGAATTTTACTTCAAACTAGCAATCTATTTTACCTCTCAAATATAGAGTAAAAAATTTAAACGGATTAAATATTATTTATTTTTTCAAAGTGGTTAGATTAGAATTCCGTAAACAATACTAAGTGTAGTCGATGAAAGAGTTTACAGTTTTTATTAAAAAATAACGATTATTTATATTTAAGTTTATTTCATATGTGACATTACTCGTTCAATTCCATCTTGAGATAATTTGTAACGAGGATCAGAGGATCCTAATGCTTTTTCTCTTATTTCCAGACTTCTTGTAAAATAATCGAGTGCTAACTTCCACTCACATTTCTTTTCATAAGCAAGGCCAATACTGTAGTAAGCTGTTGCTACACTTGGATGATCTGATGGAAGAGCTTTTAACTTTAGTTGAAGACTTTTATCGTAGATCTCTAGAGCCTTATCATATTCTTTTTTATGCAAATAAACATTACCAATATCAGTACAGCAAATGGAAATATTTGAATGAGTAGATGGCAATGTTTTTTGAAATGTCCTGTGAGCACGTTGAAGATACGACAAAGCCAAATCATAATTCTGTTGTCGATAGTAAACATTTCCAATTGAACATAGAGTATTTCCAATAGTAACATGATCAGCAGGAAGCTTTGATTGTCTCATTTTGAGAGTTCTGTTATAATATTCTAATGCTGTTTCACATTCTTTTTTGTCTCTATGAGCTGCTCCCAACCAATAATAACAGTTACTAATATCGATTGAATCATCTGTACGTTGAATTCTCTTGTACAATGTAACAGCTTTATTCAAATGATTAAGTGCTGCATCATAATCAGCTAGTGTAACAGTAACTTCTCCTAATCGACAATGACAATGAGCAGTGTTTATATCATCATCATCATTCAGTTCTTTCAATAGACGAATATAATACTTTTTAGCTTTTTCTCTGTCACCAATATTGTGTAACACATTACCAAGTACTAGAAGATTAACTTCTTCTTCACGCCCACCGATGTCTTTACGGATGTAATCAAACATTTGTTTCAAATCTTGATCATCTGAGTTACAC